CACAAGCACATCCTACATTAGCACAGCCTATCTGCAACCTTCTGGCAGATGAACTGAACAGTGGTGCCCCCGTTCAATAGAAATCATTCGCTGCTCACTCTTACTAAGGCATTTAGGTTTAACAGGTTAAAGACTTTTTCTTTACAATCCCAAGATTCACTGAAATAAGAAAATTAAACAAATCCAAAATGTCTCGAGTTTGAAACTCCTCCCCCCCCCAACAAAAAAGCATGATATCCAAAGAGTTAATGGACAATCTGAACTGCCTAACCTTTTAAATCCCTTAATTCCATCTTGTCCTGTTCAGTCCATAAGCAAAAGCCAAATTCTTGCAAAGTAGAAAGATTGTTTGAGATCTCTGTGGGGGATTAACCCGCAACATTCAAATGGAGCATCTTAACACTGCCAGTGCAAGCTTGGGAACATTAGATCAAAGTGTGGAGAAAGAAACAGTGATAAATTCTCCACATTCAATCAGTCAGTCCATTCGCCCTCCAGCTTTACAGATCTGGAGGCTTTTATACAGCCCGTATATTTCTCCCACAAATATATGGTCAATTCACTTTACAGTCTATTCTGTGAAGCGCTTCGAGACGTCGCGAAGACGTGAAAAGCGCTTTATCAAATGCAACGATTATTATTACTACTGGAAGATAGGCTTCCAACCAGTCCTCTCGCTCCCTTTCGCCTCCGAAAATAAAACCGCCACCAAACCAGCAAGTGGGAAGGCATCAATTTCCAGCAATTCAAAGTTTTCTTAACAACGACTGGAGCTTCAAGATGCCAAAGCCATTGGCGCTGGCCGATAAGCAAAGGTGGCAGCTGCTCTGTGTGACAATCGGGGCTTATTAAAGCAGACACCAAACAAGCTGTGGATCTCCATTATAAATGAGCCCAGTGATACACCAGTAACCTGATTTAAATATATACTGCCTCTCCCCCTCACGCACATACATGTGTGAGGGCGAGAGGCAGTATATATTTAAATATATACTATATATTTAAGTATATATACACATATATGTGTGTGTGTATATATATAAATATATAATGTATGGCAATGTGCTTTGGAAGATTTAAAATGATCAGAGTTACAGTGTGGGGAAAGTTGGCCAGCAGGAGGGACGTGAGAAGAGTGGCTATAGACAGGCCCCTGGCGGCTCTACACCAGGGCACAGAGACTCACTCACTCACTCACTCTCACTCACTCTCTCTCACACTCACTCACTCACTCACTCTCACTCACAGTCTGGGTACAGCTCAGCTCTCCCTCCATCTGCACCTCAGCACCTTCACACACACCCCCACAACCAACTACCAGCTGCCACCAGGCACAGCCATACCTGCTCTCCCATGAGAGAGTGAGAGAGAGAGTGGGAGTGAGTGAGAGAGAGAGTGTGTGTGAGAGTGGGAGTGAGTGAGAGAGAGTGAGTGAGAGTGAGTGAGAGAGAGTGTGTGTGAGAGAGAGAATGGGATGAGTGAGAGAGTGTGTGTGTGTGAGAGAGTGAGAGAGAGTGAGGGTGAATGAGAGTGTGAGTGTGAGAGAGTGAGTGAGAGAGAGTGAGTGAGAGTGAGAGAGAGAGTGTGAGTGAGAGAGTGAGAGTGAGAGAGAGAGAGTGTGTGTGAGAGAGAGTGTGTGTGTGAGAAGATGTGAGAGAGGGAGAGTGTGAGAGGGAGGGAGGGAGGGAGGGAGGGAGGTCAGTGGGGATCGCTCCTCATCAGCCGCGTTAAACAACTGATCGCAAAGCTCTCCTCGGACTTGAGGCTGATCACTGTGAGTGTGTGCAATTGTGTATAAGTGAGTGTGTAAGTGAGTGTAAGTGTGTGAGTGAGTGCAAGTGTGTCAGTGAGTGAGTGTAGCTGAGTTGAGTGTACGTGAGTGTAAGTGTGTGTGTGAGTTTAGGTGTGTGTGTCTGTGTGTGTGGGTGTGAGTGAGTGTGTGTGAGTTGAAGTGTGTGTGTGTCTGTGTGAGTGTGTGTGGGGTGTGAGTGAGTGAGTGTGTGCGTGTGAGTGAGTTTGAGTGTGTGTGTGAGTGTGTGTGGGTGTGAGTGAGTGTGTGAGTGGATAAAATCTCATGCTCACAGGCACTTCATTTCTGAAGCTGCTCTGAATCAGACGGATTTGTCTTTCAACGATGTTTGTCAGGAGAGGCGATGTGCTTTGTGTTTAAATATATATATATATATACACACATACATATATATACATATATATATTAAAAAATCTGTGCCCTGCAGCTAGTGAAAGTGTAGCTGTGGTGTGGGCGAGGAGCCTGGACGTGTCCTGCCTGCTTTGTGTGGGTTTGGTTTTCAGAGAAAGAGAGAGAGGAGAGAGAGAGAGACAGAAGGAGAGAAAGAAAGACAAAAGGTTTGAGCTCAGTGTCTGGTGCTACGCCTTGTGACAGACAAGTGGCGATCAGTGGCTCAGTCCATGTCCAGAGACACTCTGACCAACTCTCCAAACCCCCCAGTCTCCATCTCTCCATCCCTCCCTCCCTCTCTCTCTCTCTCTATCTCTCTCTCTCTCCCACCCCCCACACACACACACACACACACACACACACAGCAAACTGTGCCCCTCATTCAACCACCCAACATAACTAACCCCAGCACTTGCATTCAGGGGCAACAATCTAAGAGGAGAGAGAGAGAGAGAGAG